TATAATGTATGTTAGTCATGTTCACCCTCATTCCCCTTTCTCATGCTCCTCATGCTGAAGCCTTTCTTCCCAGATCCTCCTCCTACTTTCATGCCTTCTTTTTGTGTGAACCTCAGAGTTTATTTGAGGTTTCCTGCAGCTTTTAACACCAAGAAGGAAAAGCACACCAGAGATGCTTCTTAGCATGAACAGTTGCTGATATTTTATGTGAGTGTTTGGAGGATGGAAAGTAAAGGGAGTCTGAAAAAACCCATGAATATGCAAATCCATGAATGTGCAACACACAGTGAGAGAGAGAGAAAACAGAGGGAGGCTGGGAGTGTGGGAGGGAGAGACACAGAGAAAGAGAGAGACTGAGGCAGGGATAGAGGAAAGAACTAAGGACAGAAGGAAGGAAGGAAGAAAAAAAAATGTGAACACAGGAAGAATTTCCTCCAACTTTCCTGCCTCTAGAGATTGTGTCAGTGAGCTGACACTGAGTTTAAGTGATAGGAAGTCCCCCTGCTCCTCCACACATCTGCAGGTGATTATACACCAAAAGTTAGCTGTCTTATCTGTCTTATTCAGTCTTCCCTTACAGATAATTGTCTCCTGACATTTACCCTAAGCTTTGGGTTCTAACTAGCTTGTGTTCATTTTTGTTTTATTTTATTTTTCTGAGTTGTGAGTCCTCTGTGTTTCCATGTCTGGGTTCAATAAAGGGAAAGAGTAACAAATGTTCAGGGCATGCTCAGTTCAGCTTAGCTCTGTGCCACTTCTCAGAGTCACTTGACTAAGTGAGCAAATCACAGAAATGAGGGAGCACACAAAACAGAGACTTGAAATAAATGAACACATATTTTCCTCTCTGACGATTGATTCATGACCTGAAGAGAGCTAGCGGAGAAAACCAATAGAAGAATGATGATTTTGTCTTCTTGCTTAGGCTGCATAATCTGTGATGGGGGAGAGCCCCTCAAGCCCTCAAACTAAGAATGTACAGGCGATTTTCTGATGTATAACGTGCTTCAATTTTCACTTGTGTAGTAACAATGTGAAAGGAGAACTATCTAACAAACAAACTATGCTATTGGTGCAAACAGTAGAAATATAGTAGCCAGAGAAGATGTGTTAGCACCAGCTGTTGCTGCGGGTGTAAGAACAAGCACTCCTCAGAGAAAGGACCCAGATCTGGGGTCCCTAAGCCTGTGCCACAGCCACCCTAAGTGGTTATGGTTATCATCCCAGAAGCTTCACCCTGGAGAGCCACGCCCTGGCATTGGCTAATCTGCTCACACCAGCATAGAGGGCAAGAGCCAGGGCTGGGTATATAAAGCAGAGCATGACCAATTTCTCCACACATTTGCTTCTGACCTAGCTGTGCTGACTCACAAGCTCAGAAACAGACACCATGGTGCACCTGACTGATGCTGAGAAGGGTCTGGTTACTGGCCTGTGGGGAAAGGTGAACGCTGATGAAGTTGGAGGCCATGCCCTGGGCAGGTTGGTATCCAGGTCACAAGGCAGCTCACAAGTGAAGTTGGGCTTGTGGAGACAGAAGTCTGCTCTCCAGCACGCACTGACTCTCAGTGTCCTCTGCCTGTGCTTCCCTTGTTAGGCTGCTGGTTGTCTACCCCTGGACCCAGAGGTTCTTTGAGAGCTTTGGAGACCTGTCCACTGCCGCTGCTGTCATGAGTAACGCCAAGGTGAAGGCCCATGGCAAGAAGGTGATTACCTCCTTTAGTGACGGCCTGAAACACCTGGACAACCTGAAGGGCACCTTCGCCAGCCTGAGTGAGCTGCACTGTGACAAGCTGCACGTGGATCCTGAGAACTTCAAGGTGAGTCTGCTGGCTCCTGTGTTTCCTTGCTCTGCCTTGCATGCTCACCCTCCTGTGAGAAGGGAAGGGGAAGGGATTGTAGGGAGCAGTGTAGCTGGATGGTGTCTGGTGGTGCCCTGGGGAGTGTTGCCAAGAGTGCAACCATTTTACCCTCCACTCACACTCCTTGTTTCCTTTCACTCTGTTCTAAATTGTTGTTTCAAATGAATGACAATCCCAGCCATTCTATTTTACCGATAAGACTCAGGAGTCAAAAACTGGGTTGAAAAACCTGCTAGTTCAAGAGTCAGAGAAAGTACCAGCTGACTTTCCTACTCAGAGGAAAAAGCCCCCAAACCTTACTAGCTCAGCTAATAGCCCAGGAGGTTAAGTCTAAAAACCCCAAGGCATCTCCTATAGTGTGTGTGTGTGTGTTCATTGTTTGATCAATGACAACTCTGGGATTGGACTATGGAATACAGTGGTGGCTCAGAACTCTTGATGGTCTGTGCCCTGTGTCCACCTGTAAGAAATCACTCTGATCCTGTTTGCAGTGGACTGGAGAAAGGTTCATTTGATTTACTGAGAGTAAGACATGGATGAGGAACTGTACTGTCCCAATTCAGTAAACAGTATCAGAGACTGTGAAAAATATCATTTTGAATTGGAAAAAGATAAAGAAAGTACAATTATCACCAAGTTTATATAGCTGTTGGACTAAAGAGCAAGAGGAAATAAACTTACATTTCTATGGTGCTTTAATGTTTATATTGTTTCAGTGAAACATCTGTGAAAGGAGTTGTGCATTCTCCATTCATAAATGGTGAAATTGAGACTCAATAGCACAAAACTACTTGAGCACAGTACTCATAGAATGAATATTTTAAGATGTTTAAACTCTATTAATAAGTAGTCCATAAAAATGGATTTTTAAATATAGATATCTACTGAAGAGTAAAATAAACACCCAAAATACACGTCAAAACAATAACAGCAAAAAAAACCTAAACAATACAAAAAACAAAGGTCAAAGGGCAAAGCTTGCTCAAAGCTCAAAAAGCTCAAGATCTAGAGAGCTAGAAGCCCTTTCCCTTCTAGGTGTTGCCTGAAATACCCCTCAACTCAAAGTCCCTCTTACTCTTTAATCCCTGTCTGCTGGTTTCTTGCTCACCTCTTGACCTAGGGGTTCATTTTATTGAATCCTGTGTACAGAAAGCTTTTGGATTAAAGATGTCTGTTAGGGCTGGACTATAAAACAAGAAATAGGATTTTATTCTTCACAATTTCAGGGGTTCACAATGGGATCAAATATCTTGCAACATGTTTGGATTTCCTCTTTTCAGTAAATTTTAATTTTCAGTTGTAGTTTTAAAGTGCGTTTCTTCATCTTTTATCTAACTTTTGGTTTCTTTCAAATATTTCCTGGTAACTTGCTTTGAGAACAAGGAAGATAAGTGATTCCCTGCTTCTTTGCACAGCTCTAAAGACTTATATAGTGATAATTGGCTTTCAGGATAGGCTGAGAGGAAAAAATATATTTTGCATATAAATTTTGCCTGCCACAGAATAGTTCTTATCAAAATTGGCCAGCAGAGCCAGCTGTCATTCTGCCTATAGTTTAAGATTATAACCATAAGTTCCATTTGAAAGGAGCCTCCAGTTTCTGGTATTTTTGCTCTACTATCATGTTGATGCCTCTTTTATCTTCCCACAGCTCCTGGGCAATATGATTGTGATTGAGATGGCTCAGCACCTGGGCAGTGAATTCACCCCCTGTGCACAGGCCGCCTTTCAGAAGGTGGTGGCTGGAGTGGCCAATGCCCTGGCTCACAAGTACCACTAAGCCTTCTTTCCTGCTGTGGCCCATGCACAAAGGTTTTGTGTCCCCTGGAGAACAGCTATCAATTGTGGGGAAAATGAAGGAGGCCTTTGGGCATCCAGCTTTTATCTAATAAATGATTGTTTCATTGCCATGGTGTGTTTTAATTATTTGTGTGTGTGTTGACAGGATTTATGTGAAGCCTTTAAGATATAAAGGCATTGGGATGTGCTGGAGGGTAGAAAAGGAGGGTGAAAGTCATGATTTTTATTTCCATTAAAATTATTCAAAAATAAAACATAAAGAGAAGAGGTGTGTGTTCAGAGGAAAGGTATTCATTTTGACCTTGAAATAATAAACTGATGTCTGGTGCTTCATGATGGACGATGAGATAGTAAGCAGCTGCTGTGTGGGAAACCTTCCCTGATACCCATTCCTTAGGCTCAGAGAAGAATTCAACCAAGGCTTTAATTCACAGCAAAGATTTTCACTATGTCTTGGAGTAAATTTTTATTTATTTTTCTAGTTTTGTTTTTTTGTTTTCTCACAAATGTCTCCTGTCTTTCCACCTGTGGTCCAGTACCTCAGAGACCTCACTTAAATTTCTCCTGCCTGTTTCCCGTTCTGTTAAGTTTTCTCCCTTCCTTGTTTTTCTTCGAACACATTCCACTCTCTCCCAACCTCTTTTATCTTTGAATTCACCAATGTGTTAAAAATATATTGGAAGTCTAGACAGTTATTCTGAGAGCAAGCTCCTAATTCTCTCTATCCCTGATAGGTATATTCATTTCAAAAACAAAAATGCTAGGCAAGATGCCTTTTTTAATTGATGCAGCAACTTCACACCAGCTAGTCTTCCTTATCAGCAAAGACAGGCCTCGGTGTGGTGATGTGTTGATATGAAAACACTCTTCATGGCAACTTCATCCTGAGAGAAGTTGTTGATTCTGTAACCCAAAACACTAGAGAGAATAAAGGGGACAAATCTAAGCCAGAACAGCCAGCCACATCGAATGAGGGCAGGACGCAGAAATGTTGCTAGATTAGGGTCACAAGTGAAGATGAAAAGTAGGATACATAATTTCATGATTCAGGAACATCCCTTTAAGACAAAATTTTATATAAGATATTGTAACAGGTAGGAGTTTATTATGGGGAGAAAACTGTATTTTGTATTTAACCTTAATTTTCTCTCAGATTAACTCATGTTGTTTTTATTATACAAATTCCCAGAACTCTTATACTTTTTTGTCCATTTGTAAACATCACTACAAGTTTTAAATGTACTATGAAGAAACAAAAATGTGCACTGAAACCTGCTGACCACCTAATTGATAGCATTAAAGGTGATCCATTCAGCCAGTGGTAAAAAAAAGTCAGGAGCCTGAGTTGGGAAAATCCATACTATCCAGCTGGGTTTTCATTCCCATGTTGACCTTATTTAGGAGAGAAAAGTGAAGATGAATAAAGAACAGATAAATTACAGAAATATAGAAAACTTTTTTTTATCTGAAAACCGATCATAATTTGTTTTTATGTGGAAATGAGTCTTGTATTCTGGCAGTCACTAGAGAGCACTAGTGACGTCACTACTCAGATTAATACACCACACAGACACTTAAACATCCACAGCAGCACCTAAACGGACTAGAGCAAGAACTGGTCTACATTGTTTCAATGTGTTTCATAGGCTTATCAATTTTATAGGCCTCTTTAGTGTTTTCTGATGCTTTAAGTAATATTAAAATGAAAACACATACTAAGTTCTTATGATTAAATGAGAAAGAGCATTCACGTGTGGATGTAATGGGACTAGTATGGAATCTTTCACATCTACTCTAGTCAAGGCGAGTCGTGTGAGAACAGACTGGATTTCTCACTAGTCCAACAGAAATGTCTTTTTGGGACTTAATGGTTTCGGTCGCCGGTTTATCAAAGTGGAGAGTGTGCACATGAATTATGATAGCGTCCTAGAGCCTGAGGGATGTCTGGCAAATATGCAAATGACAGAAAGAATATACGGGATTATAAAACAAGCCGGAATGAGAGCAAGGCTTACAGGTTTTGAGAGCTTTGGGGCGTCTTTTCAGCCAGCTTCAGAGGGCAGCATTGAGCTTGGAAATGAGAATCAACTTTTGGAGAGGTATTTTTAATGGCTGGGAACCACACAGAAGACTCTTGATTCCATCTTTCTTGTAACAGACCACTCATGGATAAAAGACACTGCTGTGTCCCGAATGGCTCATCTTCCCAGGTTCTGCCTGGGTACAGCTGGCAAAGAGTTCCTCGGCGCTGGTGGGCTCCCTCTTCACTTCATTTGCAGTCTACTGCTGAGCAAAAATTGTGAAATTTTATGAGTGTCAGTGTGTAAATTATTGTCTTCAGAAGCTAGATTCGTGTGCTCGCTTTGACAACACATATGCTAAAATTGGAATGATGCAGAGAAAACTAGCATGGCCCCTGTGTGAGGAGAAGCCAGAGTCTCATTCAGAAAGTCCTTACCTATGTCTGTGTCTTGAAGTGCTTTCTTTTTCCTTTAGAGTTTTCAAGGCTTCTGGGTTTACATTAAGCTGTCTGATGAATTTGAAGTTGATTCTTTCTGTGTGTGAAAAAAAAAAAAAAAAGATCAAGTTTCATTCTTCCACAGACAGAATCCAATTTTCTAAACCATTTGCTAAGAAACCTGTCTTTTCTCCAGTGAGTGTTTTTGCACTTTTGTTCCCACTCAGAAATCAGGTGGCTTTCACTGTATGTGTTTGTTTTTGTGTTTTCTATTCTGGTAAATTGATTTACCCGTTTGTGCCAGACATATTCTGTTCTTGTTATTGTGGATGGCCTCAACATGAACTGACCATGGCACTGAACAGAGAATTTAAAAACAAAACAAAACAAAACAAAACAACAACTCAAATGGCCCATAAACATTTTGAAAAGTATTCAAGATGCCTACCCATGAGGAAAATGCAAGACAGAACTGCTGTGAGAGTCCATCTCTCCTCGGTGGGAGTGAAAACTAGTACAACCTTGTGGAAACTGGGGATATTTCTTCTAAAACTCAAGCTAGAACTACCCTCTGACCCAGCTGCACCTGAGTAAATATTAAAGGATTTTCTATCCATCTACATGAATGCTTGCATATCCATGTTTATTGCAGATCATTTCTCAATAGAAACGGAGTCCTCTTAGATGCCCTACAACAGGTAGATGGATAATGACAATGTAGCTGATATGTCCAAGGTTTTAATAATTTGAAAACAAAAATGAACTTTTGAACATCTCGGGAAAGTGGATGGAAGTAGAAGCTATTTTACCCAGTAAAGTAACTCATGCCCAGGAAGACAAAGGCTACATTTTCTCTTTTTTTCTCGGCTTAAGGAGGCATCGAATAGTGTATGTAGGATTAAGGATAGTATAAGAGTAGGTCATTTTTGGTTGTGAGCCTAGCCTTTAACGGCTGAGCCATAAACAACCCAGATGCCCCTCAACTGAAGAATGGATGCAGAAACTGTGGTACATCTATACAATGGAGTATTACTCAGCAATGAAAAATAAGGAAATCATGAAATTTGCAGGTAAATGGTGGGACCTGGAAAGGATCATCCTGAGTGAGTTGTCCCAGAAGCAAAAAGACACTCACGGTATATACTCACTCATATAAACATACAATATAGAATAAACCCACTAAAATCTGTACATCTAAACAAACTAAGCAAAAGAGAGGACCCTAACTAAAATGTTCAATCCCCATCCTGAAAGGCAAAGAGGATGGACATCAGAAGAAAAAGAAAAGAGGAAACAACCTCGGAACCTGCTACAGAGGGCCTCTGAAAGCCAGAAGAAAACAGGAAACAACCTTGAAACCTGCCACAGAGGGCCTCTGAAAGCTTCTGCAGTATAGACTATCAAAGCAGATGCTGAGCCTGATGGCCAACTGATGGGCAGAGTGAATGGAATTTTATGTAAGAAGTGGGAAATAGTAAGAGCTGGAGGGAACGGGAACTCCACAAGCAGAGCAACAGAACAAGATAATTTGAACACAGGGAACTTCCCAGAGACTCATACTCCAACCAAGGACTATTCGTGGAGATGACCTGGAACCCCTGCACGGGTTGGCCCATGGCAGTTCAGTGTCCAAGTGGGTTACATAGTAATGGGAAGAGGGACTGCCTCTGACATAATCTGATTGGTCTGCTCGTTGATCACTTCCCCCTGAGGGGGGAGCAGCCTTACCAGGCCACAGTAGAGGACAATGCAGCCACTTTTGATGAGAACTGATAGACTAAGATCAGAAAGAAGAGGAGAACCTCCCCTATCAGTGGACTTGGGGAGTGGCATGCATGCAGAAAGGGGAGGGAGGGTGGGATCGGCAGGAGAGGAGGGAGGGGCTTATGGGGGGATACAAAATGAATAAAGTGTAATTAATAAAAAATAAAAAAAATTAAAAAAAAGAAAAAAAATTTTCAAAAAAAAAAAAAGAGTAGGTCATACGTGGTATGAAGTTACGTAGATTATTAGCAAACAAAAATTGCAGGTCTGCTGCATCCCTGTGAGTTCTTGGCTAGGGGGACCTGAAGGACCAACAGCACAGCCCCTGCTGGTACAGGCTGCTTTCACCATCACGGTTACCATCAGAACTCAATGCTGACATCTCTTGGTGAAGACGCCTCACACTACAGCTGTAGGCCTCAGCAAAATTAAGCTGGAGCTGGGTTGGTAGCTTCCTCCCTTTTGGCATTCATGGGGCTGGGTGGTGCCATATAGGCACTTTTTAAGCATTCTATAATAGTCTTTCTATTTTGACATTATTTCTTTGTCTGTCCCACATATAAGGAAAAAAAAAAAAAACCCACCACAATTGTCTTCCCAAATGTGGCATATCACTTATTATGATGGGGTTTATCTCCATTTATTTTATTTCAAAGAATGGACTTTATTATATCACTATCAGGAAAGTTAGTAAGGTGCTAGATAAGTTAATTTCCGGGGTGACACTTTCTATATTTTATACAGATACACTGTATTCTATTAATACCATAATTATTATTTGTCAGCAGTTATAAGAACTAAGTTTAAAAAGATAGGTTCATTTGCCACTTCATTTTCTACTTTCTTGATTTACTGTCATATTTATGATTGATTTCACATATATTTTTTTTGTGTTCCCATAAATAATGGGAGTTTATTAAAGAACATAAAACAGGTAAATTCCCTTGAGAGATCATGCATGTCTTATATCAATGAAATTATCTAAATTTTGGTGGAAGCTACTTAGAAACCTCATATGGCTACACTTCATCATGTGTTTCTATAAAATAAAATATCAAATAGTATATTTCAAAATATGCTAAAATTAAAAATATTATATAATATAAAATACTTTATGTTTCAGTTAGGATTAACATATTCTCATAAAATATGCAGTGAATAAACAATACTAAAATATGAGTAACTATGAAGAGCATCTGTAAAATGAGTAGTCATAGCAACTAATATACACTGGTATTTGCAAGTTCTTTAAGTTTGTGGCTAACTGTTGTGTCTGGTATCAGCGTATCTGGAACCGCGAAGTCCCCAGTTCTTTGGAAAAACTTTGTAGGAATTCCTTATCTATGTCTGCAGCCTTGCCAAAACCCTAGTCGACCTGACCACATCTACAAGCAGGCTTGCTTCATGCATCCTTGACAAAAGGAGAAAAAGAAAAACAGAGGAAATTAGTGGAACACGTCTGCCCCCTACCGGCATGCCATCGGAGTTTAGAGAAATTGCCTATTGCAATCAGCTTTAACTGTCAACCTGAGGCAGCCTAGAGTCTTCTGAGAAGAAAGAATCACGTGAAGAATTGCCTTATGAGATTGGCCTGTGGGCACAGCACTGGAAGATTGTCTTGATGATTAACTGACCCAGGAGGGCCCAGCCAACCAGGGCCCATTCTTAAGCAAGTGGTTCTGAGCTTTACAAGAAAGCTAGGTAATTGGGCTAGAGATGGAGGGGGTTCAGTTCTTAGCATCCACATTAATCTTATAATAACAGCTCACAATAGTCTTTAACTCTAGGTTCAGGGGAACCTGATGCTTCTAGCCTCCATGTTACCCATACGTACACATAGACACAGACTTTACAAAAATAAAATTAATGTCTTCAAGAAATTAAAAAAATAAAATCAATGCCAAAAAGTAATTCTTTGATTTTTTTTTTTTTTTTTTTTGTATTTTTTGGACCCCTCTAATCCTGAATATTCCTATCATGTGTCCCAGGGAACAGAATGGAAGACAAAGAGCCTTAAGATTGGGGGGAATATATGATGAACAAGAACTCATTATCATGGCTTCTAAAACTCATCCAGGACTTCCTCCCTACACAGTTCTTAGAGCCCTGTTATTATAGATGCCTCCAGGGAACAGGATATGACTGTGATCGTCCAAGTCTCTGATGTGCAAAGAAAACCTGGGTGTGTGTTAATTTTAGTGCCTTCGAATGCTACCCGGAGGAAAAGTTTCCCAGACTGTGGAGGAGAAGAAAAGGATGCTCTCAGGAGAAGAGCTAGCTGCGCAAGACGTATCCCTATGACGGGATACGTCTCAGTGCTCTTGGGCTAAATTCTAGGGCCCAAGAGATACCTAAAAAGGGGTATAAGTAAGTGGTCCTGAACTGCTATTTAGGCTCTGGGAGTCTCCTTGGTTTTGTCCTTCCTACTAACCTGTAAATACCTCCAGATTTCAAACAGAAACAAGTAAGTGCACAGCTACCCTCAAAGGAAGCTTGAGGTAGATGCAGGAGAAGCTGAAGTCGTGATTTCTGCAGTTCTGGCCCATAGGCTAGAACACTGAACTCCAGTCACGCTGATAGGTAGCTGTGGTGCAATTCTGTTTTCTTGTGAGGAATTTAGTCAGAAGATTTTTCCCCTTTTATGTTGTATTCATACAACGGCCTTTTTCTATCAAGATCTGAACATGGGTGTAATTAATTCCTACTGGCTAAAATAAGGCTCAGCTCTTTAAACAAAACTTAGTACAGGCAACCTTTATGTTTGCAAGAATAAACGCACGAATGTCCACAAAATACAGTGAGCATTTGAATATCAGGCACCAGTTCTGATGCATATTAAAAAGCTGAAACTCAGAGATATTAACTCTGAATGTGAAGTTGTTTCATTGGTAGAAATTTAACACTTCCATCACTGGATATTATAAAAACAGGCAATGATTTTTAGACTATAGGTTGCTGTAGCCAGCCTAAGATAGTGCATCTTGTTTTGGGAGGTATATTACAAACAAATGTATAACTTTTTCTGCAGTCCAGAATGTTAATTTTTTTGACAATTATTTTTATGTTAATTTTGTTACTTTTGAGAGGCCTATTTTCCTATGTTGCTGCAACAGATATTTTTTCTGACTTATATAGCTACTATCCCGAAATGCTAACTTGAAAACGGACTCATAATGGTGCTGATTTTTTAAAGTGATTTATCAACAAGAGAACTAAAATTCAAACTAAGAAACAGCCTGT